GGACCTTGGGGACTTGCCACAGGCCGGCCTCTCCTGACACCGTCAGGGTGCAGCCTCTTCGGTGGTCAGCAGGTCAGGGCCTGGCTCGAGGCTCTTTTCCGCTCTGGCCCGTTTCCTCGTCGGTAAAACAGTGTAGGACCAGCCCTGGCTGGTGTTCCCCGTGGTTAGGGCATCATCCTGAGCACTCAAAGGTCGCAGGTTTGATTCCTGGTCAAGGGCACGTACCTGGCTTGTGGGTTCAATCCCTGACTCTGGCCAGGGTGCATGCAGAAGGCTACCAATTGATGTGTCCTCCAACATAGATATTTGTCTGTCTGTCTGTCTCTCTCTTTTCCTCCCTCCCCTCACCCCCTCCCCTCTCTCTAAAAAGCAATGGAAAAAATATCCTCAGGTGAGGCTTAACAACAACAAAGCGTGTGGGACCAGCGGGCAGGTGTTCTGGGTTTCACAGCCGTGTCAGGTCTGTGGTGCAGGAGCGAACAGCCTGAGCGGCGGCCATGGCAACCGTCTGGGCTCCTGGGGAGCAGAGCAGCTCCCGAACGCGGCTGCTCCCCGGGGACCGCCTCCCTGCTGGGCGGCATCAGACTTGGGGTGCAGAGCCGGCCACCGCTCACCCAGGCCCCGCACAGCACGGCTGTGAAAGCCCTTTTTAACGGGAAGACACAGGACACGTCGGTTACGGTCCCTTACACGGTGCGTTAATGCAGCCTGAGGCCCGTGCCTTTGTCCTCCCGGTGGACTTGTATGTGTGAAGGGCCTCCTGACAGCCCCGCCCTAGTTCCCACTCCCCCCCCCCCCCCGCAGGGGTGTGATGGCATCGTTTGCAACCCAGGATGGGACAGAAGGGTCTTTAAGGGCTCCTGTCCCACCGCTGACACGGACTTTCTCCCTGCCCTGGCCTTGGCGGGCCTGCAGCCTCCGCAGAACGCAGCGGCTGTGCCGCAGCCAGGGCAGCCTGCCCAAGCGGGGCCGCGAGGAGTCTGCAGCAGCAGCCCGGCGGCTCAAAGAGCACAGAGAGGTGCTCGTCTCCATCCTGCGGCTGAATATCTGCTTTCCAGAGCCTCGTGCCTGGGGAAAAGCCGAGAGAGAGAGAGAGAGAGAGAGAGAGAGAGAGAGAGAGAGAGAGAGAGAGAGAGAGAGCGCGCGCGAGCGCAAGAGAGGTTGACCCCGAGTGGCTGAGCCGTGTGGCGTCTTTTAGCGGTGGCTTGGCTTTGGGAAGGATGCTCTCATGGGCGGTGCCATCTCCCTGTCTGCTAGACCTAGAGGGCAAGCAGTGGCCCATGACACAGCCTTGAGCCGGGGGGGGGGGGGGGGGGGGGGGGGGGGGGGGCTGACTGGCACTTGGGTGCAGCACAGGGGGGTGTCTAAAACCTCCCAAAGGGGCTTTTGTCCTGCAGCCTCCATGACATTGCCTGAGCAGGGGCTGCCGCAGAAAGCCTGGGGCCCCACAGCCCGCAGGCATGGTTGGGCGCCCTGGGCATATGGCAGCAATTATCTCTCTCACACACACACACAAAGACGTGAGTGGGGAAGGTGCTAATTGTCCTCCAACTAGCCAAGTCCGTTTTGTCTCATTTGAAATAACAGGTTTAATTTAATCCCTTATTTCCAATTTGGTGCAGCACCGAGAGCTTAACGTACAAAAGACCTGATTATAATAATTACAGGCTAAGCCGGGGAGGCCGTCCTCGTTTGTGTCTGAAGAAAGGGACTCACAGCCACCTCCTCCGTGGCTCCCCTGCTCGGAGGCGGCTGCCCCGGCTGCCTCCTCACCCCCGGGCTCCACGAGGCAGGGTTGGGGCCGGTGGGAGCTTTCCACAGAGGAGAAAGGGAGAGTCACACCTCAGCCTCAGGCGGGTCTCAGAGTTGAGGAGGGAGACTGCCTGCCATGGCGGGGCCCAGCGCCTGGCACAGAGCAGGCGTGTGGCTGCATTGGGATTCTCGCTGGGCCCCGGGCTTTGGAGAGCAGGCTGCGTGGTGCCCTCCTCTGTGTGCCCAGCACATGGCGGGGATCCGGGCAGTCCTCCCGTTGGTTTGGGGTTTTTGCGGGGATCCGGGCAGTCCTCCCGTTGGTTTGGGGGGTTTGATCCGGGGAGGGCAGGTGACTGGTAATGACATGTCGATCATCGAATTCTGTCTCCTACCAGATGGAGGGCTGGGAGTGGAGTCGCTGCCTCAGAGCCAGTGGGACCTGGCCCTGGATCGGTCGATGGTCAGGGCTCTGGGCAGATGGACTGGAATCGATGGCTCCCCAGTGGGGGGGGCCCAGGCTGGGACTGGCTAAGGTTGGGGAGTGGAGGGGGGCTGGGGGCTGCATCCCCCAGATATTCCTGGGCTGTCTGAACTGAGTTCACTCTGGGACAACGTTGGGTGTAGCCGGTGGTGAGAATAGTTAAATGCCAGCCCCAGGAACTGGGCCTTTGATCTTTGGAGACAAGGGGAGACAGGGCCTGTAAAATTGGAAACAAATGTCTGGGTTCTCGTACCTCAGAGCACTTCACAGCCGGGAAGGCCTCACACAGCAGAGGGGCCTGGGTGGGGAGTCAGTCCTGACGTCCAATGCCCAGGCCCCAGCCCGCTCTGGCCCCCCCGCCAGCACCGCTGCCCCCAGCCGTGGCCAGACCCCAGCCGGAGCTAGTTCTGGTTGACTCATCCTGTGCTGGTTTCTGAGCTGCGCTGGGCTGGCCGGGCGCTGGGGAGGGGCCGAGTGTCATTCCCTCGCCCAGCCCGCGCCGGGAGCCCCCGGCAAGTCTACGATGTGTCCCCTGGCAGCTCCAGCTTCTGGCGTTAACCCCGCTGACCAACCAGGCTGCTGGGGAAGCTTCAGGGTCACCTGTTCCTAGCTCAGCGTGCGGGTTCAGGCCTGGGCGGGGCGTCCAGGCCCACAGGAGCCCTGGGACATGAGACCCACAGGCTCCCGGCTGCCCAGCGCTGAGGGTGATGGGCAGACTGGCCTTCGCCTGGTTCTCCGCCAGCTTATGGGGGCAGGTAGACTTAGGTAGACTTACCCCTGCCATATTCCCTCTGGTACCCCGTGGTACCAGATCCAGCAGCCAGCCCCATTGCAAGTAAAATGCCCAGCACCAGGACTGGTGGCCTTGTCGTCACTCCAGCGCTGGGATGGGGGTGGGGGAAGTGAGGGGGGCAGGTCATTGCTGCTGAGAGTGGTGGCCTCTGTCTCACTCTCGCTGGGCCGAGGCCCTGCTCATCCTGGGACCACGTCTTCTTGGTCCACTCGGTGGCTAACAGGATTCTCCCCCCACCACCCCCCCCCCCACCGCCAGTCCTTTGGCACCTGTAGCCATCCAGGCCTCAGAATCACAGCCAGTCTGAGGGTACGAAAGGGGGCAGGAGCCCTCCCCGTCCTTGAGTGAGTCTCCGGGATGCTCCCAACAAGCATCCTGAGCGGAGCAAACCTGTGCCCCGGAGAGGAGCGACTTCTCAGCCAGAGCTGCCAGCCGAGGAGCCCCAGCCAGCGGCTGCAGGAATGAAAGGGAAGATGCAGCAGGGCAGCGGCCCATCTGCTGCTGCTCAGATGTAACTGGGTTAGCGCCTCCGGGGCTCGGGCTTGTCTCTTAAAGCGGCAGAGGTGGCAGAGGCGGCGGTGGCGGTGGCATGCTGGGCAGAGTGGGGCCTCGGGCCTCAGGCAGCCCGGGCTGGCTGGCAGCTCGGCACTCACTGGCTCTATGACCCTGGGCAAGGCACTTGGCCTTTCTGAACCTGGCTCCTCGAATGTAAAGAGGTGGCCGTGTGAGCAAGTGCCCAGCGTAGTGTGACCTACATTACAGTCTCTTCCTGCAGCCCAGTAACCCCAGGGGCCTCTTTCTGTCTTGCCGAGTGGTGTGTCCCCCATGGCCCCCTTGCCAAGCACATGCCAGGTGTCTCCCTACCTCGTAGAGCGAGCCCCTCAAAACAGGGGGTGTGCGTTCAGCATGGTAGATGCCCTGTGAAAGCCACGCCTCGGGGGATGGGGTGGGCTCCTTCTGCCATCCTCGCTGCCGCCCTGCCCTCGCTTCTCCGCTGGGTAAGCAGGAATGTTCTAGAATCTAGAGGGAGCTCCAGCGGATAACCTCCCCCGGGAGAAAGAGGCAGAGCTCATTAACCCTCACATCCTGTTGACTGCAGCCTGGGCAGGTGGCCTCCAACTCTCCCGCCTGCCCTGGGGGGTTGGGAAGTGAGGGTGTTGGCTCTCGGCTTTTCTCTAAAGGACCAGAGTGGGGAGAGAACCACAGAGGAGATGGATGTGCTTGCTCACCAGCTCCCCCCTCCATCGCACCGCCTCCCCTGGGCTCCTCCCAGATGGATTTCAGGCATCCAGGAGGTGGGAAGTGGGGGAGGGCCGCCCTGGACGCTGAGGCAGCTGGCTGTGTGACTCTCACCTGCAGACAAGGGGATGGGGGAGGAGACCCGGTGCCTGCGGGCAGCTCTCCACAGCGTCAGGGGCTCCCCCACTGCAGGCTCTTTCCCCACAGCAATGAGAGCAGGCCTTCCACCAGGTGCCTGGCCCGTGTAGAATGGCTCTGGGGGCCCCAGATGAGCCCAATGAACTGACGTCAGCACTTAGAACCGTGCCAGGTGTCATCAGCCCTGCGAAAGCATCTGCTGTGTCACTGCTAATGGTCTCCCTGCCAGAAGGCCCCAGCCCATGCTGGCCGTTGGTCATCCCGCCCCCCACTTTGGGGGCAGGTGTCAGTGGGTACTTAACGTACAGGACAGCCCACGGGGTCAGAACAGACCGAGCCGCTCCCGCTGGCTCACCCCTGGTGTTAAGTGTTCAGGTGAACAGTGTGAAATGACTGTATTTCTCATTCAAAAGTGGCTGAATGTCGGCAGCTTCATCCGGTTCAGGTGGCTGCTTTGGCCACGGCCCCCGAGCGCAGGAGGCCTTGAGCTCAGTGCGTGCCCAGCCGCGCAGACACACGTCTGCCTCCAAGGAATTTGCTGAGACCCAAGGATGGATGGGAGCCCCAGCTGACTGTCTGTCTCTCTGACGCCTACAGGCCCTGATCCTTCACCAGCTGCGCCGCTACAGCCTGGCCGAGAAGATTCTCCGTGACGCGGTGCAGGTGAACTCCACGGCCCACGAGGTCTGGAACGGGCTGGGCGAGGTCCTCCAGGCTCAGGGCAACGACACAGCCGCCACCGAGTGCTTCCTGATGGCCCTGGAGCTGGAGGCCAGCAGCCCCGCCGTGCCCTTCACCATCATCCCCCGGGTGCTCTGACCGGCGCCGGCAGCCGCACCGCCGCTCGGGCACGGAGGCCCCGCCTGGGGTGGCCCGAGGGGACACGTCTGCCACCCGAGGCCCCGGGCGGACGTGCGACTGGCCAGGGCGATCCGACCAGACCAACCCGCATCGGCACTCCCCCGCGTGCACGCCTGCGGCCTCCGCAGCCCGGCGACATCGCTCAACACGGGTTATGTGCCATATCTTGTTAGTTGACATCTGAGTTTTAAGTAACATGGTTATGGAAATAATCCACAAACGTGGAAGAACACGCTCAACGTTAACATTCAGTGGCAGAACAGAGTATTTTTGTCAGAGCTGTAAAGAAAGCTGTTCTCTCCTCCTCGCCACCCTGCCCCACCCCCGGCCCAGAAACCAAATGTGAATCTTCTTTTCCCACCTCAGTGCTAGGCCACGCCAGGACTCCGGCCAACCATTTCTTGGTTTTGTTGTCGATAATTGTACCATGTGATGAATTTCTGTCCTCGCTTAGAACAAAGCCCGAGTCCAAGAATATTTATATTTTGCCAATATATGCCTGTTACCAGAGAAGGAAATATGAGTTATTTAAGTTTAACTTTTTTATGTGAATTCAGAGTTTATTTATCAACGGAAAGATGTACAAAGAAGCTTCAAATGGAAAATATTTACCGACATTCCTTATACATGACAGACACTTGGCTAAACGGGAAGATGACGTTAATAATAAAATGATTTTAAAAATGGACCCATTGCCTATGTGGTTAGCGAAAGCACACAGAAGGTTCAGGCTCAGTTCCCAGGGTGGGTGGCGAGCTGTCTGCCCCTGGGGGCCACCCTGATTTTAGTATGGGAATTCACCTTTCCCACCTCTGCCCTCTTAGCTGGGATTGGAACATGTGACTCAGGTCTAGCCAATCAACCTCCGGCACTCACAGGAATGAGCACGTGACCTGAAGTGGCCCAATCACAGTGGGAGCTGCAAGGAAAGGCTCTCACTGCCTGTTGGACTTAAACCTGAGTGGAGAGGCTAGAATTACAGTCACCATGGGGGGAGGGGAGTGGAAGTGGGAGGAGGGGAGGGGGTAGAAGTGTCGGGGCCAAATGTGAAGCCAGGGACTGAAACCAACAGAGTAGATAGCAAGGACCAAGAACCAGAAACAACATGAGCAGGCAGGCCTCCCCACTGCCCGGGGTTTCTCAGCTGAGCATCTATGGGTGGCCCTACCTTGCCAGGACCCAGGAAAATGTGGAGGGCACCCAAACTCTGACCTTATACACCTTAAAGTCTTAAGGACACCCCCCCACCCCCCAATCTAGGCACAACCTCCCTGACTCATTGGGCCGGCAGGTAAGGGGGCATCTGAGGTGGGGAGAGACTGCAGGCAGGAGCCTGCTATGGGCAGAGCAGGTAGGCACCCCAGTCTCAGCACTGACCTGCCAGGTGGCATCTGGGACCCCATACATCATGGAATTTGCACCAAGAGACAAGAAAGCAGGCGCTCAGTGGGGCAGCAGCTTGCCTACTGGAGGGTCGAGGCCGGCCCTGCCATTCTATGCGGAGATTTAGGGCAGGCAAGGCCAGCCCGGATGAGGGCCTGGAAAGCAGGATCCAGGGGTCCTTGCAGGGAGAGCCAGTGAACCTTGGGGGTCCTCCTTCCAAGGCTCCCACCTCTCAGGCAGCTAGAGAACAAGCTGAGAGTGAGGGTGGGGAGTTAGAGAAGACCAGGGAGGGACGGAGGGAGGGAGAAGAGGAGGGCAGAGAGGAGGCCCTTCTTTAAAGGGTGCCAGCCCTGCCAAAACCGGTTTGGCTCCGTGGCTAGAGCATCGGCCTGTGGACTGAAAGGTCCCAGGTTCGATTCCAGTCAAGGGCATGTACCTTGGTTGCGGGCACATCCCCGGAAGGAGGTGTGCAGGAGGCAGCTGGTCAATGTTTCTCTCTCATTGATGTTTTTAGCTCTCTATCCCTCTCCCGTCCTCTCGGTAAAGAAATCAATAAAATATATTTTAAAAATTAAAAATAAAGGGTGCCAGCCCCTCCCAGCAGAGAAGGACCTTGGGCACAGGCCATGTTGGGCCTGGATGGGGAAGGGCATGGGTCCCAGGCTCACTCTCTGGGCTGGGAAGGATCTGAGCTCAGGACCCCCAACCCCATCCCCAGGTGGGACCAGGGTCTCCGTCCCCTGTGCTCCTTACCTGTCTTCATGGCTTAGAGGGCATGCATGTGCCCATGTCTGACCACACTGAACAGCCCGACTCCTCCAAATGGTCACTCAGATCTCCTTTGTGGTCACACAGTCAGCCTCAGATGCCCCATCCCATCTGCCCACAGGAAGTCCAGCCCTTAGCCAGGTACCTTCTCCAGCTTCTCTCTATGTCCAACCTCCACCCTGTCCATGTGGGGCACCAGCCAGGACCCCAGCCTCGTGGCCCTTCCCCAGCTCACCCCAGCATGGCGAGTACTGGTTAGGGTGGGCAGTGCGCCTCGGCTGAAGGCCAGTCCATGCCCCACTGGCTCCCTCTTCCATACCTCCCTGCCCACCCCATCCCCCACCCCCCCCAGGGAATCTTCTCACTGCTCAGCTCCCTCTTTTCTTCTCTCCCCTTGCTCCCCCTCCCGCCTCCTCTCCCCACACCTCTCATGGCCCGCAGGGTAGGCTTGTCCAATTCTGGGACCAATCGTGTTGGAGAATTGTGACTGGCGCTCTCAGGCCTTGTGCAAGGTGGTCTCCTGGTGACCCAGCGGCTCTTAGCATCCCTTGCACCTCTTCCTTCTTCCCTGCCCCCTCTGTTTCCTCTCCCTGCACTTGACCAAAAGCTCCTGAGAACCTGTGGGTCCTGTCTTGGGGAGTCAGGCAGTGGGCAGGCCATACTGAGCCGGAGGACTCCATGCACCACACACACACACAAACACACACACAAGTGACAGGCCAGTCCTCGGGGGCTGACCCTCAGAGCTCCCGTTCCTGCCACCAGCCTTCCTCTCCTCCCACTCTCTGTCACTCATTTCCTACTGCCCCGCCCACACTGCAGCCAGGTGGGACCAGGAAAAGGACATCCTGTGACTGTCTCAGACAGGCGAAGACCTCTCTGGAAGGTCCTTGGGGGCCAGACTGAGGCCCCCTCCTCGAGGCCAGCTCTGCACCTGCCGCGGGGCCGCCCTGATTGAGTCACCATCCCTCTCTGCCTCTCAGGGTCCTATGAGGACAGGCAACCCTGCCCAGCCTGCCTTCCGGACTGAGCCTGAGTCAGCAGGCAGCTGGAGAGATCCTGGGGTGCAGCAAAGGGCCACCCCCGCCCCGGGGCCACGGTGGGTGGCTCAGAGCCAGGCGGCCACAGGGCCCCCTTGGAGGCTCAGGCCGAGCGGGGCTCACTGCAGAGGCGGTGGGCAGGTTGCAGGGCGCCTTCTGCAGGTCTGCCTGGAGCCGGGAGCTCCCCAGAGGGAGATCTGGGCTGCCCACAGCCTTCCCGGCCCTGCCTGCCTCCCCCCCTCTTCTGCTGGGGGACCCCTGACCCCTGAGGACAATAGGGCTTCCTGGTGACCGCTGCGCTGTGGGCCACACCGATCCGGCCGGAATCCAGCTCTGCCTGGTCACGTCGCCTCCAGTGAGAAAGGGCCTCCCGCTCTGGCTCTCAGTGGGGGTGACACTTCCAGGGCTGTGGGGCATGCTGATATCATGAAGCACGGTGCCTGGGGGACCCTGCGAGGTCATGCTTCTTCCTTCCCTGCTCAGCCCAGGGCGAGGGGGCAGCGGCCAGGGGCGCCCCCAGAGCTCTGGTGCAGGGCAGGAGGGGACGCGCTGGCTCTCTTCTCCCTCTGCCCACGCAGAGCTATTTGCAGCCAAGCTGGAGGCCACGCGGGACTCCACGGCACTTCCCTCTGCCTCCTGCGGGGCCTCCCGTGGAGGAGGAGGGGAGGGCCTGCAGTAGGGCCTGCCCCGTCCACAGTGCCAGCTGGCCGCCTCTCCTCTCCTTTGCCTTCTGGGCCTCCGAGGGCTGTCCGCAGGCCCTGAGTCCAGCGTGAGGAGGGAGGGGGGCTGCAGCCAACAGCAGCCTTAAAAACAATGAAATTAAATCTGAAAAATGGAATAGCCCCTGTGTGGAAATGAAGCTCGTTTACCCACAACTCTGCCTTTTTAAAATATATATATATATGTTTTTATTTCAGAGAGAGGAAGGGAGAGGAAGAGAGTGGTAGAAACATCAATGATGAGAGAGACTCGCTGATCAGCTGCCTTCTGCACACCCCACACTGGGCATTAAGCCCACAACCCAGGCATGTGCCCTGACCTGACTGGGAATCGAACTGTGACCTCCTGGTTCATAGGTCGACGCTCAACCACTGAGCACGCCAGCCAAGCCACAATGCTGCGTTTTCAAACAAAAAAATCAGCAGCACTTTCTCCTCTTTTGTGACCACAGCATCCACACCCGCTGTGTTGGTTTCCTGGGGCTGCTGTAACAAATTGCCACGATCTTCGTGGCTTAAAACAACACACCTCTGTTAGCCTGGGGTCCAGGGCCAGGATTCTGACAGGTCTCAGAAGGTGTCAGAGGCCTGCGTTCCTTGGAGGGGGATTGAGGGGTGCCGGGAGAACCTGTTTCTGGCCTTCTCTGGCTTTGAGGAGTTGCCCACGTTCCTCAGCTCTCGGACCTCCCCTCCACCCTCAAAGCCAGCAATGAGTCATCTGACCTTGACCCTCCTTGTCGCCTCTCCTTCTCTAGCGCTGACCCTTGCCTCCCTCCTTCACATGTGAGGACCCCGTGGCCGGAGCACAGCCGGTCGGTGTGAATTGCTAGGTTCTGTGTGGTCGCTCCGTTAAGCAGAGGGCACTCATTAGCAGCAGTGAGGGCTGTGGGCTGCCCTCCCACAAGCTCCCCTCGCCAGCTGGTGCCCCGGTGTGTGCATGGCGCAGACAGATGGTACCATCAGCAGGGACGCCGTCTGGGCTGGGCGGGGTCCTAGCTCTCTGGCATCTCGGGCATGAGAAGAACCCTCTCCCCCAACAAGGCCCTCTGGAGCTGATGCAACCGCATTCTGAGGGCAGGATTCTGGATTCAGCCTCCCTCCTGGTCAGCTCAGGCGACACGGAACTAGGTCTAGTCTTGGGAACGGGAAGGATAGAGGCTACTAGGTTCATGAGAAGTGCCTGTACAATATTGCTAGCCAGCCCACACCATGAACCTAACACCCTAATTTCACACACACCCCAAAAAGGGCCCTTCTCATGTCCTCCCTTATTGTATAGATGGGAACGCTGAGACTCGGAGTGATAAGGCATTTCCAGTATTCATTCCATCCAGGATCCAATTGACCATCTGATTCCATGGCCACCCCTCGGGAACCAGGGCAAAAACCAGTAACATTTTTTGTTTGTTTGTTTGTTTGTTTTAATAAATCTTTATTGTTCATATTATTACAAAAGTTCCTCATTTTTTCCCCCTCCACCAGGTTCCCACCCCACCCTCTGCTCTTTCCCCACCCCCCATTGTCCTCATCCATATGTTCAGTCTCTTCCCGCCCCCCCCCCACTGCTCTTTTCCCCAAGAATCATCAGTCCACTCCCCTTCCGTACCTCTGATTCTATTATATTATATTCAACAGTTAATATTGTTCATCAGGTTTTTTAATTCCCTTAGTTTTTAGGTTCATTTGTTGATAGTTACATATTTGTTGTTCATAATTTTTATCTTTATCTTCTTCCTCTTCCAAAAGAACACCCTTCACCATTCATATAATTCTGGTTT